CACCTCGCTGTACGCGCTCATTTTCAAAGACGGCGCAGTGTTAGCCGCATCTTTGATCGACGGCGAGCGCGTGCCGCCGCCGTCCCCCGTCAGTGTGACGTGATCCGTGCCACGGTCGGCCACTTTGATTTCCGCGTGCGCGGTGCTCGTGCTACTCGTCGATGGCGCACGCGTTAATTCATCGCACGCTGTCGTTTCCTCTGCCTTTTCTTGCTGTTGTTGTTGCTGTTGCTGTTTTATATAGCGTTCATTTAGCTGACCGCGCATCCGCAGCTTGGCAAGGATCTTGTCCGCCTTGTCGCGTCGCTTTGTGTAAATGAGGAATCGCGGAGTCTCGGGAACGGCAAATGGGATGCCCACGAGCAGCACCAACGACGGGCCCATTTGCAACATCAGCGGTAGCTGCCATGGCCAGTGCCCGCCCATGTTAAACGTCCCGTACGCAATCCAAAACGCCAAACAGAACCCGATTGTCACCGCCAACTGATAAAACGTGATCAATCGCCCACGATGCTCGGGCTGTGCGAGTTCACATTGATCTTTTTTTGAAAATAAAAAACGCGTAAAACGCGCTATTTGCATGAGTCGTCGATGCCAAGGGACTCATGACACACTTACATAGGGGCACCAAAAACGTGAAGATGCTGAACAATGAAAAAGGGTGCGCCATGAGCGTCGTTTGCGCCATTCGCACCCTTTTTTTTTTTTTTTTTTTTTTTTTTTTTTTTTTTACCCGAGTGAGCAGCCAATGACCAATCTGCCTACGATCAGCGTAGAAAAGGATTTGCCAACAACCTGGATAAGCACACCGACCGTGTGGATGCATCCCCCAACAACAAAAAACAAGCGACGCCCAATTTGATCTGCAATGGGGCCAGAGACCTCATAATAATAATAAAAAAGGTGTCACATCAGAAAATGCGATCGTCCAATTCGGTTTTTCAGTTACAAAGGCGGTGACGGCCGCGCTGGCCAAGGGAATGGCCAGCAAGACGCTCGCTCGACTCGTGTCCAATGAAAAGGTGCGGTCAAAATCATCCATCATCATGCAAGCCGAAATGATGCCGTTGTCATAGCTGCGCAAAAAAATAAAAAAATAAAAAAATAAAAAGACTCAGCAAGCCGCAACGCGACTTTAATGGCCTTCTTGGCTTACCCATACTATCCATTTCATTGAGCACATCAAGAACAAAAGCTTGATTAGCAAAATCACGCGCGTGCGCGGACCAATTGCCTACCAAAAATCCGCCTATGGCTACAAAGCTGTATAAATTCGTGCCAGATTAGCCGCGCGTAAAGGAAAAAAAAAGGGAAACACGCAAGACACCTGCTTACTTGCATATGGCATAGAGTCTCCAAAAAGGCGATGCCATCTAAAAGCAACACATTTGACTGTAAAAGCAAAAGAGCAACACAATTTCAGTCTGATGAGCGCAGTGGAAGAAGCAGCTCGAGAATGGAGACCATGGAAGGCCATTACATTAAGACGCCCTCGGCTCATCCATCGGCTTTCGCCTTTTTCCGCAAGTCAATTTTCATGCAAAGTTTATTTTTTTTATTCAAAATGACGAGATCCGAGATTCCAATGGAACAATGACAGAACAAGAACCGACCCCAACCAGATGATGCCGGACAGCAGCAAGCGCACCGCCACAACTCACCCGGAAAAAGCACGGCACGACCCTCTGTGTGTATTTTTGCGCTGAAAAGCAATCTATAAAAGAAGAATCATGAGTCACGCGCGCTCAAAATTCAACAGAAGCGCGACGGTGGCCCGTTGCAGATGACGTTTCAGTGGTCTTGTGGATTAGATGTTCTCATGGCCCTCGTGGCTCAGAAGTAGCAAATAAAAAGACGAAATCATCCTACACAGCCAATCTGCACGGGGGAAGTCCAGCCGTCGCGACGCCAATGGCACGCTTGGGGACTATCAATTACCTAAAAAGAATCAAATTGCGCGTGAGTATGGCTGCCAAGCAAGAAAAAACGAGCTCAAATAGCAAAAGCACGGGCAAAATAAAAAGACAAGTGATCAGACAATTGGTGAAATGGTTGATCTCATTAGCCTCATGCTTCTGAAGTAGCAAATATTTTAAACAAATCATCACAAGCTTGTCTTTTTTTGTTTTGCCGCGTGCCATTGCTTGATTTTTGTTAAATGTACCTTTTTGTGGCACACGCTAATTGCCATTTGCATGAGCCAAGGCCGACGTGCTCGCCACCACTCTGCAGAGTGGCAGTGCGTGGAATCTTACGTCATGCATGACCCCCCTACGCGAGATCAGCACGGCAAAGAGAAACGCGTAGCAGCATCGGCTGAGCAAGAGGTATACACCTCCTGTCATAGACACGCACCACATCCCCGCCGTGCCAATAGCATGCATAAGGCGATTCTGCAGCGAAAGAGAGCAACAGTCGCGCACAAGGATAATCTACAAATGCCCAAAAAAAGGGAAAAATGAGCAAACGCGTCGTTCATCCATCCATCCATCCATCCATCCTTGCATCCATCCATCCCAATTGCGCATCCATCAATTCATCCATCTGGCCTTGAGTATCCATTTTGCCATTGACTTACCATGCCATGCCCAAAAGAAAATCAATCCATCACTGGAGTAAAAGAAAAAAAAAAAGCAAAGAAGAAATGCAAAAGCAGCGACTCAGCGCGCTGAGCCTTCATTTCAAGGCCGCCTGGCAGGCGAACATGAAACTCAAACTCCGCCGCCTTGTGATCTTTGATCGGCATGAAAAGGAGGCGCGCTTCTTTTTCTGGCTAAAGCTTCATTTTGAGACAAACAATGGATTTTTATTTATAGTGTTTTGAAACAAATCGAGTTGGAGGCTATTTTAGCCGCTCGTTTTCATGATAAGAAAGGACGGATATGGGCAAAGAATGGGAATGAGGTTAAAATATACAGAAGGTAAAAGGGAAATGATGGGGAAAAAAAGGGGATGTTGTGCGCGCGCTTACGCAGCCATTGGAGCTGCGGGCTGTGGCGCCACGGACCAGGGGGCCGGCTGGACACGCTTGGATATGGAGGATGGTCGTGTGATTGTTCCTTTGCGTTTAAGACTGCCTGTGGTTGGCGCTGGAGCGGGCAAGTACGCGGCCTGCGGTGCTTTTGGCTCGACGACCTGCTTGTGATATTCGGATGGCAGCACCACGGGCTCCACCTTCTTCTGAATGTCCGTTTCCATGTCAGAGTACACGTGAATCAAGTGAGTGCCTTGGCCCTTGGCCACACGCTTGGCAATTCCTTGTTCATCAAACACAACCTCGTGCACAGTCGCCTAGTTCATATAAAAAAAAAAAAAAAAGAAAGCGTGATCCGCGTACCGGGAATTGGGATCAGTGCACTCGTCGCGACGCGCGTCACGGATCTTACTTCGGATGAATTGCAGCAGCCCATGTTTTTTGTTTTTATCGATTGAAAAGAGTCGGTAGGAAGGTGAGTAGAAAATAAAAAAGAGAAGTGGAAAGAGAAGAATGATCAAAAGGATCGGAAACAAAAGGGGATGATGGTGTCAGATGGTCTTTTTATGCGCCAAGCCAGGGCTAAAAAAACATCTTCCAAAAAAAGAGGGCTTGCCCAAGTTTTGACATCGCCTGGCTATTTTTAGCGCCGAGCGGATCTCCTGGGAGGTTGTCGCCCGAGCCCTTTTTTTTTTCTCTCTTTTTTTTATTTTAGATGTTTTGGACGACCCTCTTTTAGGCATTGCAGCGTCTTTTGGTAATTGTCAATGGTGGACAGAACACAGGGAAGAGGAATCAATGGATAAAAAAAGAGAGGGGGGCCAGAACATAGGATGGTCCTGTGCTTTGTTCTCCAGAAGCCCAAACAGACCCAAGGTGCGCATTGGCCAGCATGGTTACACAGGGCCTGTTCGCGTCTCGCGACACTTTTTAGCGTCTAGCCGGGCAATGATCAATGGATTACCCATTCCATTGCTTTGCTGACGACGCACATGAGCATGCACGCTTCAATGCGGACTATGGCCTTAAACAAACGCGAGGACGCACCATCAGTCTATCCAGAGCAGCAAAAATTAGAATAAAAGCACGATGTCGGGTGTCGGGCTGCCAGATCCGCGCGCCTCCCTCTTTTTCACGATTTTCGAGCGGGCAACACGCATGCGCGGCATGGGTACACAGTGGCGAGGAAGGCTGTGAATACCATATGAAAAAGCGGAAAAGGGACCCTAAAATCAAAGAAAAACAACGACAAGCGTGCCCTACGTATGGCCCAAAATAGGATCATCCAGGATCCAATGGAGCCACACTTTCTGCAGAATCCTGTGAACACTGCAGCCCAACACACACACACAAAAAAAAAAAAAAAAAAGGATCAAAGATTGACCCGCTGATGACGTTTCTTTTTTTTTTTTTTTTTTTTTTTTTTGCCATCACAAACCCACCTGCATCTGTAGCCAATTGATCCATCGTCTGCTGATCAGGACGTGAGATTCTTCTCATCGTCGATGCAGGAAATAATCACACAAAGCGGTTTATTTGCTGTATAATATAAAAAAAACTGGTGTCAAATTTTTGTTTATGCGCTTTTCGACACAACTCACTTGAGACTTGACCGATTGGTACCAAAAAACGCTACAGAATCTTTCTTGTGTGGGACACATTGGTTGCAAAAAGTTTGATGAGATTTGAACGTGCTGATCTCATGGACAAGACAAACTATTCAATTTTGGAACAAGTCCTGTGCAGACTTGGATTTATTGATGGGATCAGCTGTTGTCGTACCTGCGAATCGTATGGTACTGAGCGAAGAAACTGCACCTGCCAAATTTGGCAATTTTCTGCAAGCCAAATTTGCACCTTGCTCGAACATTTTCCCTTTCTGCACAAATTAAAACTCTAATTTAATCTCATCATTGAATAGGCAAACGCTCAATCTTTCGTTTAATGCTAAATTGGCATGCCAATTACAAGTTTTCCAATTTTTGAAAAGACTTTTATAAAACAGAAAGATTCCTGTAAAACATGTGCTTGTTTGGCCGAGCGGTCTAAGGCGCTGCACTCAAGTTGCAGTCTCGCAAGAGGCAGCGGTTCGAATCCGCTAGCAAGCAGTATCTTTTTGCCTCTGTCGAGGTCAAAATTTTTTTTTTTGGCTTTTTTTTTTTTTGGCTTTTGCATATAAAATTGTCAAAAATGCTTTTTTTTTGTTCAAATTTCTTGCATTACAACTGATTGATGCTTAAATGGCTCCATAGTATTCGAGCAGTGGTGGGTTGACAGGGATTGAGAAACAATTATCTTGGAAAACCGTGAAATTTTTATTTTAGGTCTTGGTGCGTCGGTAGACTGGGTTTTGATCGAATTGAACATTACCAGGGAAGAGCTGGTGTGCGTCCAATCCCACGTCACCATTCAAATTTGCGTCGCAAGATGAGTTTTGTGCGATGTTGTGCGTTTCTTGTGCGCGCAAGCGTGGTACAATAGTAGAGTGGCACGTGTTTCATTGGCTACTTTTTACAAAAAATGAAAAAAGAGGAACCAGGCTTTCATTTGAGCCTTTCTTTGTGTCTCTGTGAGCACAATTTGACGAACGATGCCTATTTGAAAATTGGCGCGCAGCCGCGCCGATTTTCACAGAAAACAAGTCTGCACTGCCGAACGACCCCAAACTTATAGGAACTGTGTGTGTCACAGAGTAGTAACAATGAGTCGAGTTTCACGAGATTCTACGTTGTGGATTTTGAGAAAATAGGAGTTTATTGCGCTGGAGGTCTTTGTTTCAAATGCTCATCATTCGATGTGCGAATGAGCTAGAGTCGATCAGCTGACATTTCCTCGGAGAGAATCATCCAAAAGTATAACGTGTGGGCATTGCGCGGAGCGATGTTTGTACGCGATCTAGAGCATCGACGCGCTGAAAATTATTCTCAAAAAACGCGGTTTCGGCGCGTCGCCATTCACGTGCAAAGCGTGTTTTCTTGAGATCACCGGCATTCACGTGCGCGTACGATCGATGTGCGCGAGATATGTTTGTTTCAGCCCGCTAAAAGCACTCGTCTATCCATGGCGTGTGATTGAAATACGGCGTTTTTGGTGCATTTTTATCGACTTTCTCGCCAACCGGCATAAAAATGTTCGTTCGCGCCATAGTCATCATGGTTGCGAACCCTGCAGTCCTGCTACCCTCCAAGTTTCGTGGCGATCTGGCGACCTTTTTAGGTTTTCGAAAATTGGCCAGGGGATGGTCCAGGATTTTTGGCCACTTTTCATTCTGGCTCCTGCTCGCCATTTAATGATCGCAGTGCTGCCAAGGTGACCTCAAATGAAAGCCTGGCGCGGCCTTTACTACGCGGTACAAAAGTCAGCCAATAGGCTCTCAAGACGTCTCTCAAAAAGCCGAAATGGATGTTTTATCGCCTTTGTACGCTTTACTCACATCAAAGGTCAGTGCTCCAAAAAAAAAAAAAAAATCAACGCCATTCGAGAGCCAGGAAGCTGTATTATTTTCCGTCCAAGAGTCACTCTAGATTCTTTGTAACTTATCGAGTCATTCGCGTATTTCGAATGAAAAAAGAGGTTTTGGCGTAGCTGCTTTAATATTCTTGCCTTGACTACCGAATCCATGGAGCACGTAATAGTGTGATGATGTCAGAATGACGAATATCATAAGCAGCATGATCTTTTTGCATTTCAATGGCTTGAGATTTTTTTATTTTTGTTTTTCTCACTTGGATTTCTTTTGTTTTACGATGGTTCTTTGACGCTGCTGCTGACCACGTACAGAGTCGCGCACGATGATCAATTATCCATCGACTTTTGATGGTGACCGGACAACTTGCGCCTGCAAAAATAGGCAAAAGCTTAAAATCGAGTCATTCTCGCATGTCACGCATCGCAGGACCGCTTGAAATGTCGCATTAGAAAGCGGGTGAGTGGGCGACTTCAGGATAGCGCGTTGGCATCAAGTACAAAGATAGTATTATGGTGATTCTCAAGAGAAATGTGCGTTTTACCTCTTTGGCATCCATTGCGTATAAAAATGACGCCGAATTTGTTCATGAAAGAAGCAACAGAGCAAACCAACACGGTGCCAAGGAGACGGATAACGTGGCGAGAAATGCGGAGATCCAATCTGTGTCACTATTCAATTGGGTTCCTGTTGGATTCTTTGTGTTCACCCAGGACTTACCCTCTTTTTTTTTTCTTTTGTTCTTCTCCCTTCATCCTTTTTTCAGGTACAACTCTTGCGCAGATCGATCTGTGAGGCACTCACGTGGGACGCGTTTGCTTTGATAGAGAACGATTTAATGTCAATACGGCGACTGGCGGATAAAGCTGTGGTCTTTGATGCGTTTCCCAAGGTGGAGGCCGACAACCAGAGCCGAAGCGAGAAGGGTGGGCTGCTGTCTGTGCTGCTCGCCTGCTTTTTGCTGTTTCTTACGTGGAGCGAGCTGTCAGAGTAAGTGTAAACTCGTAAAAAGAGGTGTTTCATGGGCTAACTCTCATTTTTTTGTGACAGGTACCGCCGCACTCAGGTCCAATACGACTTTACGTTGGACGCAAGCATAGACAAGCGCCTACAGGTGAATATGGACCTGACGGTCGCCATGCCATGCACAGGTATGCACAAATCATGCTCAATGGACGCGTCCATCGCATCCAAGATCGACAGTTGACTCATTGGACTCTTTCACAGTGCTCCTTGTCCATGTCTACGACGTGTCTGGCCAGCGGCTGCACCTGTCCGATAATTTGAAGATGATTCCGGTAAGGCGATCCTGTCAAATAGCTTGTCATGAGTGCCAGTGGATGAATTTTCTTTCTTGTAGACCGAGTTTTCCACGACCAAGGCCAACAGTGGCAAGTAAGTCAGCGGTGTGTTTATGCGCATGGCGCGTGCAATTGAAATTGACGCGTCTTTTTTTGTGTTTTTGCCTTTTTTTGTCTTTTTTTTTCTCCCCATTTTCAAGAACGCTGAATGACCCGAAATATATCAAGGAGATTGTCAAGGCAGCGAGCGGACAGGCGTACGATACGAAGGTCGCCATTGACATGGGCGCATGCCGTATCTTTGGCTCCATACAAGCCAACAAGCTAGCCGCCAACCTTCACATCACGGCCGCCGGCCATGGATACCGTAAGATCACGTGCCCACGCCCTGAGAAATCGGCTTGCTCAATTAGCTTTCTTTATCTACAGAGGGACAGCACACGGATCACGCAGGTAAATGAACGAAAAACAAAAAAAGACACGCGTTTCGCTGACCTTTTTTTTTTTTTTTTAGTGATGAACTTTACGCACCGCATTGACGAGTTCTCCTTTGGCGAATTTTATCCCAGTCTGGTGAATCCGCTCGATAATAGTCTGGAGGTGGCCGAGACACGTAAGAAAAAAAAAAAAAGACGCGAAATACACGCGTTCACACGGCTCATTGTTGATTGTTTGTAGATTTTGAGGCGTTTGATTACTTTTTGTCAGTTGTTCCGACGACCTATTTTGACAAGCACGGCAAGATGCTGCTGACTAACCAGTATGCCGTGACGGATGCGCGTCGTACGTTCCCCGAGAAATTGTCCGCACAAGTGGTGCCTGGCATCTTTTTCAAGTACGATCTCGAGGCTGTGACGGTGGTCATCAAAGAGACACACCGCTCATTGTTCGATTTGGTCGTGCGCCTCTTTGGTATTATTGGCGGTTCCGTCGTCACTGTCGGGTTTGTGTACCGCGCGCTGCGTTTTGCTTGGACAGGCGGCAAGGAAGATCCCAATCTATACGCGCCCGTTCATAATCTGTTTAGGAGCGTCTGAGACCAATTGGCGACGCATTTCTTTTTGTCCTGGACGCCGGCCATATGATAGAACGAGTCATCATCATAAAAAAATAAAAAACAGGACTTGGATGCACAATGCATGATGTCGGCGCGCTAGTACATCGTAGAGTGCCAGATGTCGGTGCTGTCCGCGCCGCTCAGTGGCAGAAACAAATCAGGTGCTTGCAAGTTATATTAATGAGCCTGCTCATTTTTTATTTTTGGCTCATGCATGCAGTGTCAGCCCTCATGCGTCCATTTGCTCGGCGACAGTCGCTCGCAGAGGAGGCAGGGACGCTTTGGCACACGAGCCGGGGGCGTTGCAATTGCAATTGACTTGTTGTACTAGGCTAATCACAAAGAAAAAGCAAAAAGACGCGTGCTTTATTTACAACAACTTTGATCAAATGAGGCCAATTGGGGGATGGGATAAACAAAATAAAAACGGCAAAATGGCCAAGAAAAAGCAGGTCGAGGCGAGGGGGATATCAAGGTTTGTTTTGCTTTGGAAAAAAAAAGCTGCATGCACAAAGGCTATATTACAAGCGGTGTTGCTACGCACCCGACTTTAGAATCGACGCAAACCCGACGAGTGCGACACCAATGAAGAAGAAAAAGACGACGTGGCCATTGCGAGGGGTATCTACTTTGATCGCTTGCGGGAGCATGCTCTGTGAAAAAAAAATGAGATTCGAGAACGACAATGCCTGGTTTTTCTTTTTTTCTGCGTACCTGAATTGTGATAAAAGTCATCATTCCGCTGATGATACCAAAAGTGATGCCAAAAAGTCTATCCTCCTGGTCCTGGTTGACGGATTGGAAAGTGAGCAAGCCGAACAGGGCACCCAATGGCTGCGAGAGACCGCCCATCAGCGACGCATACAGAAAAGCCGAGGCCCGCGAACCCGTCGCATAATAGATGGGCAAGGCCATCATGAAGCCCTCGGTCAAGTTGTGGATAGACATGGCTACCGCTACACTGACACCAAGCGTCGACGATGCCTGGTTGGAAATGAACATGATCATGCCCTCTAGAAAAAAAAAATGCGAAAAAAATCGAAAAAGATGAGCCAAATTTGTTTCTTTTTCGTCGTTTTTTGTTCATACCAGGGAATTTGTGAATGCAGATGGCAATGGCTGTCTGGATGCCAATGCTCCAGAAACGGAAACGATCATTTTCAATGTCCAATGGCTGACTGTCGCTGTTTTCATGATCATGGCCATGATGATCATGGTGATTGTGGTGGTCATGGTGCAGCTCCGGGGCCAATTGGGCTTCCTCATCATCCTGCGAATGATGAT